GGTACTAAAGTTGTTCCGCTTTCAACAAAATGATTTCAAACTTAGTCCGAATTAAAACAATTATGAATATGGTACACTAATTGGTGGGACTATAATCGATAGACCGTAATAGTGATAATCGATTTTACATGTATGAACACAAAAATTCATAAGTCTAAAAGGTCTACTCATGGACCCTTCTCAGCATGTAAGTTAGTTACAAAGTGGTCGCGGAAGAGTTTAGGCCAAGCCTGGCCGAGGGCTCCCACATTAACACCATGCAAAATCGTACAGACAAGCCACCCTGGAAAGATATAATAATGTATGAAAATTCTGGTTGCCTGATAGAGACATGGATGTAGTATTTATTCTTTGAACCTAATATTTTCTTAGCATCAATTGGAGACAAAACCACCAGGTATCTAGCTTTTTTGCTGCTTATTTTCAGAAACATAACCGAATAGGAAAATAAATGAGAAAGTTGTTTACAAAAGGGTTCAAGAGTGGGGTCAACCCTCACAGAAAACCAGGGGAGAACAATCTCTTTGAATTTTTCTGCTTCTAGTTACAGCACAAGCTTTATTCTTAACTGATTTGACAGTATAACAGTATTCACATGTGTAAAGTCCATGCTTTTGGCATTCTTTGAAGATATAAATCTAGATAATTTCAAGAACGAACAGATGAAACCAGTTTCTGAAGTTGGGTTTTGCTGCTGCTTAGCCAGTTTGCCCCTTCCTCAGCCCACAGGAAAATTTTGTCGCTTTAAGCTATATTAGTCCCTAAAGGGTACTTGTTTTAGCTAAAATTCATTGAGTTTCTCTGGGTCTGTTGGTGATGGGAGATTGAAGAATAATTTTGAGGGAATTTGACGGATTGGCTCGACTAAGTTCATGTAAGTTTCTATATACCCATAATTTTTGGATTTACAAATTTTGGTTCCATTTCTAGATATTTTTACGTTATGCCTTCTTTTGATTTTTCTGATCTTGTAAAGTTATTAGCATTATTGATTATTGCACTTAATGATATTACCTTATTTGGTATGTGTTTTCAGTTCTCTGATTTTGATCGAATGCGTTTTCTATTTCTTTCTATTTTCTATTTTTCTTTTATGATTTCTTTGGGCTTGTATGATTTTGTGAAGTTCTAAATTGAAGTTGAATTGGTGCTAATTCCCTAATTCTTAAAGGTAAAGGTGGACTAGAACTTCCAGTTTCTATGTGAAACTAATCATGAATCAGTGATCTTATTATAATTGACTAATGGATGACAAGGGGCTCTCAGGTTCATTTTTCTCTATATCTGAGGAGAATAGAGTATCCAAAATTGACTAATGGATGACAAGGGGCTCTCAGGTTCATTTTTCTCTATATCTGAGGAGAATAGAGTATCCAAAATTTTCGGTGTGTCCTATGCCCAAACACCAAATGAAATTTATTTGAAGAATATTTGACATTTCAAAAGTAAAGTAGATCTTGGATGCGTTGAGTCCAATATCCCATACATTTTCCCCTCAGGATCGGGGAAGGATCCCGAGGCGAAAATTTTTTGAGTGTTAAATGGTACTTCGGAAATTCGCGCATCTATTTGGCCATCCTAATATATTTCTCCTATATGAAGAATATTAGGGCAAACCTTCATTTATTTTATCATAGTAGAGAAAATAGAGAGATGTGAGTCTAAAACATATTGTAATTCTTTTCTTCGTATTGTGCAATTTTGACAACGACAGCTGATGCAATAGCTATTCCTGCTCTCTTTTTACCATTTTGCCCATGTTTAAGCCCATTCTTTAAAACTCATTTTCAATTACACATTCTCTCGATAAAATAATTTTGTACATAAAACCAAATATTTTCCCCCACCTTTATAATCACACATTCTCCAGAAAATTCATTTTTTCACAAAATCTATTCTCAAAAGATGGGTTCGAACAGGGGCTTATGAAGAATTGCTCTTGGTTATATGGATTTTTTGTTTAATCCATAAACAGTATAACAAACCGTCAGTTTTTTTATAATAGAATTATGGAGGAAAAGGGGTCTGTGGTTCATTTTTGGCTATGTTCAAGTAGAATAAGGATACTTCGTCGGCTGTGTCTTTTTGGCGTTTCTTGTGCATTTTTTACATATTTTAATTGCAGTTGAATTG